CGACAGGGGCACGATAGCCCCAGCCTGCCTAGGAAGGTGCAACTATCGCCGATCTATCGGCGATGTATCGCCGATTCTAGGTCGATGCATCCCCCCCCCATGCCAGTCCCCCCTATCGTTGCTTCTCATCCCGAAGGGAAGCCTTCAAGGCGGAGGGTTTGCTTTCATGGCGTTCAAGGCGTTCAAGGCAGTCAGGGCGTTCTTCATTACACGATGAAGCAGTCACGGCATTCGAGGCGGGTCCTAGTTTCTGGCCTGAGGCCGTGCTCAGTCCCCGTGGGCCCTGGGGGCATGGGTCAGGACTTCTGGGGGCCCCGTGACTATTGGCGATGCCGGCGGCAGCGACGACGACGACCGACGATGGTCGGCTGAGGACTACGACGATCACCAGCGACGACGACGATGACGACGACGATGTTGACGACGACGATGACGACGACGATGACGACGATGACGAGGACGACGACAACGAAGACGACGACGACGATTGACATCGACGGCAGCGGCGGCGTTGACGATCGGTGGCCGAGGATTGATGATCGAGGTTTTGGAACGTTTTCGGCATTTCTCGGGTTGTGGTGGGCAAGGCTCCAACGATCGAGGACGGTCGGCGCTCGAAGACGACGACGATTGACGACGGTGGCAGCGACGATCGAGGATTTAGGATCGAGGTGTTTGGACGTTTTGGATGACTATCGACGACGATGATTTACGACGGCAAAGGTGGCGGTGGCCACGACGATCCACGATCAAGGGTCGATTATCGAGGAGGAGATTGAAGCACCCATGGAATTAAAAAGTGTCGGGCGGAGCAGGGGAGTTGGTGTCAAGGGGCAAGGGGGCAGGCGCAGCGGAGGCATTACAAAACTGATAGCAGTCATGGTCGGTGGCATCACGCGGTGGTGTGGGGCGCGCCCTTCATTATGTTGATGGCGTGCTCGTCCGACGCCGCCCGTCGCGTGGACCTGCGGGCCGTTTAATGGCCGCTATGTGGCCGCCAACGATGTCCCGTCGCCGCCTCGTCACACAAAGATTACACCCATAGTGTGCACCAAATGCGTTGCACCACAGCACCACATACACTGCACCACATATGTAGCACTGCATATATTCTCTTTTTTGAAAAAGAGAAGACTCTACCCCCCGGGATTATCCATTCCGACACCCCTTTTCGCATTGCAGTCTGCAGATGCTTTGCCCCATCGCCCATCCTATGTATGAGCTCTTACCATCCCAGCCCAACCGGTATCGGCTCCCCCCGTCACCCTCTGCATCACAAATTATGCGCACGCACTCGTTTATCAAGAGACGAAGTGCACACGCGCGCGTCGTCGCCCGCGCATGCCGAAATCCTTCAAAACCTTAGGTTGCGTAGAGATTTGAAAATCGAGTTCCCAAACATCATATAAACACATGGTTTTGCAACACGGGTGTTCAACCAAACAACGTGCGCGCGCGCTCTTGCGAGTTCTTAAGACAATTATAGTTTCATTGTTTTTGCAAAATCATGAAATGCTACCAAACGGGCTTCGCGCGCGCATGTCGAACTCGTTCGAACGCCCTTGCGCGCGTGCCGTATCGATAATCACATGCAAAACATGTGTCGATGTCAAAGCAGAGTGTCAAAACAAAACGTCTGTTTCTCAACATCAGTTTTCTAAAAAAACGTGCGCTCGCGCTTTTGCGCGTTCTTGAGAAAACTATTGCTTTTCAGATACAACGCATGGAATTCTGCCAAGCGGGCCTCTGGCGCGGCATGCCGACGTCATTCGCACGCCCTTGCGCGCGTGCTGGGAGGGTACGATCCGCGTCGAGTCAAGCCATGCGGGCCACTCTCGCGCGTCGGCCGCTCGCGCATGTGGAACTCTTTCCAAAACCTTCATCACCGACGCGAGGGCGCCGTCATCGTCGACGGCATGATTAGCGTTGGCGCCCGCACTGGCCGCGCCGTCGTCTTTGTCAACAACGTCACCAGCATCGCTACTATCATCATCGTGTCTATCGTTGTCGACGTTGCCATGGTACCGCGCCCGCCCAAGTCGCCGAACCGCAGTGAAGTGCTGGCAGGGATGTGCCCAGCGGTCAGCGCCACTGCGGCCGCATCTGTCGCGCCAAACTAGTTGGCCGCCGCGCGCGCGCTTGGGTTGGCGCGGCCGCAGAGATGGACCAGCTAAAGCCAAGCACTCATCGCGATCGCCACCGGGTGGGTTTTTCAAACCAAGTTGTGGGTGGGTGGATGGGTTTTTTTGCAAGAGCATGGGATGTGTCATTTCGTTTGTTTGAACCAATTGCGCCGCTTAGATTGTACCGCGTATATTGTACCACCTATATTACACCACGTAGTATACGTAATCACATTGATTGGGGCCCACGCTAGCTGACATTGTATGTACGTTCTCCTTCGTTCGATAGCCCAGTCTTAGTCCCCAGCGTTGCTCTTCACCTGCCCGTTTCTGTCCTTGCGTTTCTCCCGGTATTCTCATTGCCTCTCTTTCTGCCACCCCTTTTCTACCACTCGTCGCCTGTTTCTCTATCCGTCTGTTTCTGTATCCCTCTCCCTCCTGTTCTGTCTCTGTATCTCTCTCCCTCCTCTTTTCTTCCACAGAGTTTGCCCTCCCTGTCCTTTTTTCAGCCCTCACCTCTCATCCCACCCCTCTTCTCTCCCATCTCCCCCTCTTTCCTTGTCTCTTCTCCCCAACCCCTTCCCCCTCACTCCTCCCCCTATCCCCCCTCCTCCCTCATGGCCCCTATCTAGTCCTCTCCCCCTCATCCCTCCTCCCACATCCCCTCCCCTTCGCCCGCCCGAAGGGGGGATGAAAACGAAAACCGTTGCGTGCAGCTGGTTTTGGCGCCGCCGCCCTGCGCTTTTCTCGATACTTTGGCGCCTCTGGCGACGGGAGGCGCCAGGAACATTTGCTACATCCAGCGAATTCGCTAACACTCCGTTTTCCCCTAACTAGGCTTGCATAAGGGGGTCTTAGTTGTTTTGGGAGGGGTGCCGAGTCTGTGCTGGCAGGCTTCCCTGGGGGTGCTTGGTCTTGCTTCCTTAAAGTGGCGTTCCGCGGGGGTGCTTGGTCTGGTTTCCTTACCGTGGCGTTCCCCACGGTTGCTTTATCTCGTTCTCTTTCTGTGGGGCTCCCCGGGGTTTCTCGGTCTTGCTTCCTGGCTGCGGCATTCCACGGGGTTGCTTGGTTTTGTTTACCTACTGTGGCCTTCCCCGGAGTTGTTTGCTCTTGTTCTCTTATCGTGGCGCTCCCCAGAATTGCTTGGTCTCGCTTCCTGGCTGCGGCGTTCCGCAGGGTTGCTTGGTCTTGTTTGTGTTGTTTATAAGCTATGCCAAGCAACGCCAATCATCGCCAAGCATCGCTATTCAACGCGAAGCAACTCCAATGAACGCCAAGCACCGCCAAGCACCGCCAAGCACCGCCAAGCAATGCCAAGCAATGCCAAGCAATGCAAGGTACGCAAAGCAACGACACGCCAAGCCTCGCCAAGCAACGCAACGCATTGCCAAGCACTGCTAAGCACTGCCAAGCAACGCCAAGCAGCGCCAAGCGATCCCACTTACCCGTAAGCAACGCCATGCGACGCCAAGTACTGCTAAGCACTGCCAAGCAACGCCAAGCACCGCCAAGCAACACGCCCATGTAATCAGAAGCTTTTCTCTCATATGGGCTGCCTTAGAATCATCCTACCCCCGTCTTTGTCCAGCCCGGTACTCTTCTGGAGGCCTTAACTACTTTTCTGGGGCGGACTGTTTGTCCCGAGCCGTTGTTGGACGGTCCGCGGGCCCGTTTCGCAAGAGCACCCAGAGCGCGTGCTTCTTTCTCGACGCGAGGGGTCTGGGTCCCCATCTTCCCCCTCCACCGCCCTCTTCCGCCCTCCCCCTCCCCCTCCTCCCTCCTCCCCTCCTCCTCTTGCCCGCCTCCTGCCCTCTCCTCCTGCCCTCCTCTTGCCCTCCTCTTGCCTCCTCCTGTCCTCCCCCGCCTCCCCCCCTCCTCTTGCCCCCCTCCTCCCCGTCCATCCCCCTCCGCCCCTCCTCTCTCAATCCCCTCCGTAGCCATTTTGGCTCAAGCAGTTCGGGCCCAAGCCACCGCCAATGCAGGCTGCCTCGCGCCCCGCTCGACGCGGCTGTTGCCTGCGCGGACCCGTGGCCCGCGAGCCGTGCGGACCGTCACCGGTGTGATAGATATCGTCATCGTGTGGGCTCTGTGGATGGTGTTTCGTCCCGTCAGCGATACTCTTGCGATGCTCTCCTCGTGGCTGCGCGTGAGCTATACACTCTTGGAGTTGTCCACCGTATCAAGCTCCCTAGGGATGACTCCCAGGCTTGTGACAGGGTCCATGGTGGTGGATTCTCCGAACCGAATTCTGGAAGCGGGCATGCAGTAATCGAGAGCGGGTTCATAAATCAAGAGATCGCCTTGCTATTTGATGGATTCGAATTCGGGTGGAACGTGGTCGCGCTGGCAGTATTCGGCATACATCTGATGGTGCTTGGGGTCGTAGTATCGCAAGCAAGTCCCAGCAGGACCACAGGAGAAAACGCGTAGCCGCTTGCTGGAGACCCAGCACAGGAGGCACGAGGAGGTGAAGTGCCGCCGAAGTGGCTGGCAGTGACGGGCGTGATCGCGGGAGTCGCTTATCTGACGGACTCTATTGGCACAATGATTTGGGACCAGAAATCAACGTTTGCATTCACCGCCTACGGTGGATTTCTGGGTGAAGTGTTTCTCATGGTGTGGCTCCTGGTGCGTGGTGGCAGGATTGATGTGAGCACCTGGGGACAGTTGTCGGATGATGTTGTGGAGAGTGGCGCGGATGGCCGCGTGAAGGGGGGCATTGATGTGAGCACCCGGGGGCAGGTGCCTTGATGTGGCTCTTGTTGCAGGGGCAGCCGCAACTCAAACTCAAATCCTCCCTCACTCCCCTCATCCCCCCTCCTCACCCCCCCTGGCGCTCCCCTCTTCCCCCCCCCCTCCCCCCCGTCTGCGCCCGAGGCCAGCGGCGTCTGCGGCGGCGGGGGCGCATGCCGCGGCACCGGGGTGACGAGCCTGGCGGACGTCGGGAAGGGGGCGCATGAGGGCGGCGGCGGCGGTGGACGAGCAGCAGGGGGCGATGATAAGTACATAATGTGATGTTGAGGAAGAGGAGGAGGTGGAGGAGGAAGGATGAGCTTGTTTGTGCTTCGAACGCACACTGGACGCAGAGGTTCGCGCGCTACCTCGGCCGCTGGCGACTCCAACGGGCGCCCCATGGGGCCGCTTCGCCTCGGGGCTGGCGAAAATGGTCGCACGACCGATGCACGAACGGATTCTTCTTGGGGAGCTCTCACCTCGATGCCCACAGCAGATTCAGAACGCCATAGCAATCTAAGAGAGGGACTGTGGGCTGCCATTCGTCATGAAGATGCTTGAAGAGAAACAGTCAGCATAGGTTTTACAGGAGGGCGACCTCACATGCCCACCTGCTGGTGGGAGTTCCAAGCGATTCCATACACGCGCTCGCAGGAACCGCATACCACCAATGCAATCACATTCGGATGAAGGTGGTGGGCACGTGGTAGCCACCGATCGAATTCGTGGTCTTGGTAGCCGTGAAGGTTACACTTGAGGGGGGTGGGGATTTCGCTACGCCCCGCTCGGCTTCTGGAGGAGGAGGACGTCACAACCAGTTCCCAACCCTACCATTTGAAGAACGGAACAGCACTTAAGACAGCCTAACGCATCTGGGTCGAAGCGGTTGTACATGGCAACGGCCTCTTCGGGATCCAGCAACGTAGACACACCAGCTTATTGATGTTTCCATCGAGTGTGCATGGAGGTCGTCGCTTAACCGTAGTCGCGTCACCAACATTCTTCGTATGGTAAGCTCCAGAACGGACTCGTTTGAGGCTTTATGCGCTCTTCGGTGTCAGCTTTTGCCAACTCAGGCAGGGCTCTGCCAACTTGACCAGCCGATGGCTGGCCACACAACGTCCGCAATTCGTACAGATGTTGAGGCCCGTGTCATGTACCGCAATAGTGTGGTGTGATGGGTGGGTGCCCGCAAGTGTCGAGGACCGAGGGGATACCGTGCAACCCTTTGGCAGGATGTACCGCCTGCTGTGGCTAATTTGTAGAGGTCGTTGAGAACGCGAATGACGATATAATTTGTTTACTCCCGCCACAGTCCAAGCATCCCTGACGGTGACGTTGCCAGAGGAGATTCGAGCGGCCGGTCAACTCGAGACGGCATACTTCCACTTGTTTCGGTGTATCTTGCTTCTTGGATTCAGCGTGCTTGCCACAGTCCAAGAACATGTTGGTGAGATGAGAACGTATGGCTGCGCTGAGCACATCAACAACAAGCTCCATGGCGCTTGCCTCCGAGTCTGAGACCGCGACGTGAGTAGGTAGTCAACAACGGCCCAGCTGCCTTATCCGCTGCGTCATTGGCCAGAAGGCGCACGGGATAAACGAATGCTCCAAGCGCTTCCACTTGTGACGCGTGCGATTCAAGCTTGACTATCACCACTTTTCGGTATGTGTGAGTTGCTCATAATGATGGTGCCTCTGCTCACAGCTATCGGGTCATGCCCGACGCTCACCAATGTTGAGCAACCCGGCGCTGTACGTAGGCCGAGACTGTGATATATATGTAAGTTGTTGGCAATCAGTTGCTCGAGTAAGTGTTGCGACGCAGGCCACCATTCCGCCAAGGTTGATTGTCTGACGGCCGTTTGCCGAGCTTTTTTCCTTCAAAAGAAGAGAAGGGGGATCACGACGATGATGATACTGATGCTGATGATAATGGTACTGATGATGACACTGCTAATGATGATTGTGGTGGTGGTGATGGTGATGGTGGTGTTGTTGGCGATGATGGTGGTGGTGATGATGATAATGCAGACGGTGCGGATGATGATGATGATGATGATGCTGATGTTGTTGATGGTGATGATGACGAAGATGTTGATGCTGATGGTGATGATACTGATGATGATGACGATGGTGATGATGATGCTGCTGGTGACGATCATGAGTATGATGCTGCTGATGATGCTGCTGATGATGATGAAGATGTTGTTGATGATGGTTATGCTGATACGGCTGCTGATGATGATAATGATGATGCTATTGCTGATGATGATGATTTCGCTGATAATGATGATGATCATGCTGACGATGGTGATGGTGATGACGATGATGATTATGCTGCTGCTGATGATGTTGATGCTGATGACGGTGATGATGATGACGATGACGATGCTGATCATGCTGATGCTGCTGATGATGAGGATGTTCATGCTGACGATGCTGATGATGCCAATGTTGATGCTGACACTGATGATGCTGATGATGTTGAGGATGGTGGTTATGATGATGACCACGATGTTGCTGATGATGCTGCTGTTGATGATGGTGCTGATGATTTTGACGATGCTGATTATGCTGATGCTCACGGTGATGATGATGATACTGCTGATGTTGATACTGCTTAAGGTGATGATGATGATGACGCTGATGTTGATGATGATGTTGCTGATGATGACGATGCGGATCATGCAGGTGATGATGCTGATGATGATGCTGATGGTGGTGACGGTGATGATGATGATGGTGATGACTATGGTGATGGTGATGACGACGATGATGATGATGCTGATAGTGATGCTGCTGCTGATGATGATGAGGACGATGCTGATGATGCTGATGGTGCTGAAGTTGATGCTGATGGTGGTGATGATGACGCTGACGATGAGTAGGATGATGATGATGGTGATGATGAGGATGAGGATGAGGATGAGGATGACGAGGTGGAGGAGGAGGAGGATGAGGATGCTGATGATGACGAAGATGCTGATGCTGATGCTGCTGATGATGCTGGTGGTGGTGCTGATGATGCTGCTGCTGATGATGATGATGATGATGATGATGCTGATTATGATGATGATGATGATGATGATGATGATGATGATGATGATGATGATGATGCTGATGATGATGATGATGATGATGATGATGATGATGATGACGATGATTATTATGATGATGGTCATGATGATGATGCTGATGATGATGATGCTGATGATGATGATGATGGTGATGACGATGATGATGATGATGATGCTGATGATGATGATGATGATGATGATGATGAGGAGGAGGAGGAGGAGGAGGAGGAGGAGGAGAAGGAGGAGGCGGAGGAGAGGAGGAACATGATGAGGAGGAGAAGGAGGCAGATGATTTGCGCACCTCGCGAGCAGGGAGGAGGAAGAGGAGGAGGAGGCGGAGGAGGAGGGATGAATATGAGCATGCGCAGAGTATGGGGAGGCAGGAGGAGGAGGAGGAGGAGGAGGAGGAGGAGGAGGAGGAGGAGGAGGCGGCGAGGGAGAAAAGGCGCCGCTGCAGCTGCTGCTGTTTCCTCCCGCAAGCTCACCAGAGATTGCACCAGATTGCACCTTGCGGTCGCTCTCAGAGCATGGATTTCGAACTTGAATGTGTTGGAGGGATGACCCCCCCCCCCCCTAGGGGTATCAAGGCCTGGCCCGAGCGTGATCCCCACTTACAGCCCGCACCCCCGATCGCCTCGTTGTCATTGGAGGGATGGGGGGTGGGGGGGGCCGGGGGGCTGTAGCGGCTCATGGCTGGGGGGATCGCAGCCAAGCCGTGAGCAACAAATAATTGGACGCCCTTCTCCCCCGACATGTTCTATAGGGGCTCCACCATGTGGACTCCAAGTAGGTAAGAGGCGAGGGAGAGGGAGCGGATGATAATGATAATGAGGACGGGAGGAGGAGTGGGAGGTGGAGGAATAAGAATGCGTATAGAAGAGAGGACAGGGCAGTGCTGGGGGGAAGGGGACGCAGAGAAAACAGATGCAGGAGTGGAGACAGAGAGGCCACCCACCCTATCTTGCCGTCTCGTTCCGTTCCTGCGGCCGCGTTCTCTCTGTGTTTTTCCCAACCATCTTGTGGTGTTGGGTTCTCGTTTTGAAGAGACGGTCCCCGCGTTCCTCCCTCCCTCCTCCCTCCCCTTCTCCCCCTCCTCCCACCTCCCTGCGCTTGCACCCACCCACTATAGCGTTTCGTGGCCCCATAGGGAGCTCCACCGAAGGCGCCAGTGTCACCGTCCGCATGCGTCCAGGAAAGATCCCCTTTGGCATGTTCACCCACCCAGTGCAGCGTTCCGTGGCCCCATAGGAAGCTCCACCGAAGCCCCCAGTGGGACCGTCCGCATGCGCCCCGGAAACCCAATCTGGCATTTTCACCCACCAAGTACAGCGCTTCGTGGACCCATAGGGAAGGCCCCAGTGCCACCGTCCGCATGCGTCCCGGGGACATCCAATGTGGCCTCTTAGGGAGCTCCACCGAAGCCCCCAGTGGGACCGTCCGCATGCGTCCCGGCAGTCCAATTTGGCATTTTCACTCCCCTGGTACAGCGTTTCGTGGCCCCAACGGGAGCTGCACCGAAGGCCCCAGTGCCACCGACCGCATGCGTCCCGAAAACCCAATTTGGCATTTTCGCCCACTCAGTACAACGTTTCGTGGCCCCATCGGTAGCTCCACCGAAGCCCCCAGAGGGACCGTCCGCAGTCGTCCCGCAAACGCAATTTGGCATTTTCACCCACCTAGTGCAGCGTTTCGTGGCCCCATAGGGAGCTCCACCGACGCCCCCAGTGGGACTGTCCGCATGCGCTCCGGAACCTTCAATTTGGCATTTTCACAAACCCAGTACAGCGCTTCGTGGCGCCACAGGGAGCTCCACCGAAGGCCCCAGTGCCACCGTCCGCATACGTCCCGAAACCTCACATTTGGCAGTTTCACCCAGTACAACGTTTCGTGGCCCCATAGGGAGCTGTACCGAAGCCCCCAGTGGGACCGTCCGCATGCGTCCCGGAAACCCAAATTGGCATTTTCACCCACCAAGTACAGCGTTTCGTGACCTCATAGAGAGCTCCACCGACGGCCCCAGTGCTACCGCCCGCATGCGTTCCCCCCCACCCAGTGCAGCGCTTCGTGGCCACATAGGGAGCTTTACCGAAGAAGATATTCACAATTGCGGTACCCACAATTGCATATGTTTGGGTCCTTCGCCAGGATAGTTGTGCTTCTCTATGTTTTGGTGCGTCTTCTTCTCTCTCTCTCGCTATCCCTCCTTCTCTCTCTCTTCCTCTTTCCCTTTCTATGTTTCTTTCGTCTTCTCTCTGTTTATACATATGTATATAGTTATATATACATATTGTTATATATATATATATATATATATATATATATGTGTATCCCCCTCTCTCCATCGCCTCCCTTTGTCGCCTCTTCTTCCGCCCTCCTTCCTTCTCCAGCCGCTCCCACCGCCCTCCCCCCCACAACCTGCATGCGCCATCCTTACCTCTGGTTCCCTCGTCATGTTGCCTTCGCTCGCTCTCAGCCTTGACTCCGCCTGCAGGTCTACATACCGATGCCGTTCCCTGTGCTGGACGACGCCACGCTGCAGCTGGAGAGACTGGTGGAGGAGCTTCCTCGTCCTCCGCTTCCTCCGTTCTCCTCCCCCCCTCGCCCCCCCCACCCCCATCCTCCTCGTCATCCTCCTTTTTCCTTCATCCTCGATCCTTCCGTCGTCGTGTCGCCCCCTTTCCTCCTTCCCCCGCTTCTGACACCTCTCCCCTCCTTGTTATCCTCCGCCTCATCCTGTTGCTGCTGCGGCTGCAGCTCCTCTCCTCCTCCTCCTCCTCCTCCTCCTCCTCCTTGTCCTGCTCCTCGTTATGAAGATTTTGATGGCGACGATGCTGATTCTGATGCTGTTGCTGATGATGACGATCTGGTTATGGTGATGATGATGATGATGATGATGTTGCTGCTGGTGATGATGATGGATGTTGGTGAGGAGGATGCTGTTGATGCTGATGCAGATGAGGCTTATGCTGTCAAGGATGGTGATGCTGATGTTGATGCTGCTTCTGATGATGCGGATTATGGTTTTGCTCATCAGGTTCATGATCACGATTGTGATGCTGATGATACCGATGATGATGCCGATGACGACGATGATGGCGATGATGATGATGATGATGCTGATGCTGATTTTGATGTCGATGGTGATAGTTATGACGCTGCTGCTGATGCTGATGTTGATGTCGATGGTGATGGTGATGATGCTGCTGATGGTGATGATGCTGCTGATGATACTGATGATACTGATGATGCCGATGCCGATGATGCCGATGATTATTAAGATACCGATGCTGCTGCGTAGGATGATGAGTATGACGATGCTATGATGCTGCTGATGCTGATGTTGATGCTGCTGATGATGATGACGACGGTGATGCTGATGATGACGGTGAGGAGACGTAGGGGGGGGATGCTGATGCTGATGCTGGTGGTGGTGGTTATGATGACGATGCTGGTGATGCTGATGATGATGATGATGATGACGACGATGATGTTGCTGCTGAAATTATGACTATGGTGATGATGATGGTGATGATGCTGCTGATGATGATGATGTTGACCATGACGATGCTGCTGGTGACGATGGTAATGGTGTTGGTGGTGTTGCTGATGATGCTGATGCAGATGCAGAGGTTGATACCGATGATGCTAATGGTGCTGATGATGCTTATGCTGATGACCGTGACGAGGCTGCTGTTTATGCTGATGCTGATGATGCTGTCACTGCGTACGATGACGATGTTGCTGATCATGATGCTGGTGATGCTGATGATAATGGTGCTGGCGGTGCTGCTGCGGCTGAGGAGGATGATGCGGATGCTGCTGATGTTGATGCCGATGAGGTTGATGCTGATGACGATGATGATGATGCTGATGCTCATGCTGATGCTGCGGTTGATGCTGTAGTGTTAGTTTCAATTTCCTTTTTCTATACGTATTATAAGTTTTGGTTTTCGCATCCGTATTGGTATTATCATGGCCTTTATATCGTTATTATTGTTCGGAGTCGTATCAGTATTATTCTGCGTATTCTCAGCATCGCTATCATCATTATTGTAGTATAGCTCATGGCATTAATGGTATTATTGTTGTTATTGTTATTATTGTTATTCTTTTATTATTGCTATTACCGTGTTGGTGGTGAGGTTGTTGACGAAGCTGAAGGTGATGGTGCTTATGGTGATGGCGGTGGTGGTGCTGCGGTGGCTCATCGCAGCCCGACCCAGGAATATTCGACCTCCGTGGCCAGCGGTGGCGAGTGCCTAGGGATGGCCACACTCACCTTGCACGGATCCTTGGCGCGGAGAGTTTGGTTCATTTTGTCCACCCCAGCAGGCACCTGATGGAGAGCGGCAGGCTTCAAACGCGGCAGCCTCGCCCAGGGACTCCCTCTTGCTTCCACTAGTTGCAGCAGGTCTTCTCCTCTCCCCGCCGAGCGACCTGGGCACGCGAGAGGAGGCGAGGCGAGGACAACGGAGACAAGCAATGGCAGGCCGCTTGCAGCCGCCGCAGGGGTGATCATTACGCTGCGGGCTGGAGGCTCGACCTCCTCGGCCCACACACGCTGAGGCTCGGCCTCGGGCTCCTGGGTCAGGGTAGGCTGAGGTTCGGCCTCGGACCCCTGAGTGCGCACCCCACTGTGGCCCTGTTCCTCGGTTCATGAAGAGCAGGGGGTTCTACCTTCGCTGCGGCAGCCAGTGCAACACTTCGTTCGGGGGGGGGGCGTCACATGTAATGGCGTCAGGCGACAGAGATGGCTGGCGGACATGCTTAGGCTCGACCCCAGTCTACTGCTGCAGCAAATTCGAAGGCGCGGGGCTCGACCACAGACTCCTGGCACTCACGCTGGAGCTTTGCCTCTGGCTCCTGCTGTAGCAATCGCAAAGGCGCGGTCCCCGACACGTCTTCACATGCCAGGGCGCGACCCTGGTTGCCTGCGTCGACCTCGATGTGTGTGTGTGTGTGTGTCCTGACCGTCACATGGCGACGGACAGCGGGCGGCAGCTCATCGTCCTCTCCTGTCCCCGGTCTTGTCGTTGCGATGGCACCTGGCAGGGGCTCTTCCATCAAGGCCGTAGACGCTCACCACGTCGATGTCACCGTCCACGTTGGGAACCATGTGTGCGTCGAGTCACGCATGGCCAGCACAAAGTTTGGCGCCTCGTTGTAGGCGAGCTTACGTATTCGAATCCTGCGTGTCTGTCTATGCCACCGCCTGAAAATACAGTTCGCCCCAAGCCCTACCTTTCCTGTAACGGACGGGTGCGTTCTTTTCCTGCATCGGCTGGGAGGAGGTTGGGACGCCGTCGTTGGTGAAGGCAGGATTAGTTGCCGTCGTGTTCGAAGCTGTCTTGCACGACATGTTTGAGCTTCCGACATAATCGCGCCCTCGCCGCCTTCGCTCGTGCCGAGCAGCATCAGGAATGCCACCAATTGCCTTGTAAGAAGAATCGATGTAGACGCGAGACGCCATGGATCATGGGGGCCTCGTCATCTCCATCTGATGCCAGCGGTATCGTCGGTGTGGCCAGCGCGTCTTCCCGCCGCAGTGGACCCCCTGGGCGAGCTTCTTTGGTCCGTGAGCAGGGTGTGGGGCAGGAAGGCAGACTTTCTTGTCACGAGCGCGGCCAGAAGCTCTGCCCTTGCTGCCTTCTGCCCAGGGCCAGACGGCGCTCCGAAGAAAACTGACGAAGAGCTGGTTGTGCGCGTCCATGGCCGCGAAGCCCCAGCCCGCTCACGCGCACATCTTTCTGCCAGTGCTGGTATCCCTCCGCCGAGCGGTCGGTGTAGGCGCGGCCCGTCGCGACCGTCCGCGGGTTGCTAATGGCGCAGTAGAGCCTCCCCGTGCGATCGCGCGGTGGATGGGCTGGCAGTAGTTCGCTGGTGACCTGAGCGCGCGCCCAAAGCATGTCGTTCGGCGCTGCTGTCTGTGCCAGCTGGGTCAACTGATCGGCCTCCCGCTCCAGCGATAGTCCCGTTTTGGAACGGAATCGCCTTGCATTATTCCAGCGATGTAGGCGCAATACGAAAAGGTGGTATCACAAATTTCGGCGACGCGTCCAGCGAAAACCTCTTTTCGAACAAGGTGCCCCCTCCAACACGTGGAGCTGTTGCGAAAACTTGCGCAGCTGGTCATGACTAATTGCGGAGCTTCAAGCGATGACTCTATGTTGAAAGAACAGCCCCCTTATACGTGCAGCTGTATAACATGTGCTAGTCTTCTGATTTTTCGACTCCTGCTGTTGAAAGGCACTGTCTTCCACCCGTGACGCTGCTGCAAGCTTTCAAGACGACTGTGCGCGGCGCTAAGGCGAGGGCCATTTATTGAACGGGTCTGCCCTCATATGTGTAAATGCTCATTTCCCCAGCCCTCCGTGTTGGCTTCTCGTTTTGGGTTAGAGCGTTGTGGTCTCCAACCCAACCCGTCCTCTCCTCCTCTTGTCTCCTTCTTCCCCTCCTCCTGCTATATTCCCAAGCCTCCATGTTGGGTTCGCGTTGTGACCACAGCACTGCGGCCGCCCCGTCCTCCTCCTTCTCCTCGTCCTCCTCCTGCTTCTCGCTTTCTGCTGTCCTCCTCGTCTTCCACCTGGCGGGTCCCTGGGGGAGGGGGGCTGCAAACTGCATAACCGTCGCCGCTTTCGTGGGCTCCTGGGAGGTCCTGCGGAGTGGAGGTGTAAACAGATCGCGTTGAGACCTCGCGGGTCCTTGGAAGGGGGCTGCGAATTGCGCAACCGTCGCCTTTTTCGTGGGGTCTTGGGAGGTCCAGCGGAGTGGAGATGTAAACGGACCGCGTTGAGACCTCGCGGATCCCTTGGGGGAGGGGGCAAATTGCGCAAGCGTCGCCATTTTCGTGGGCTCCCGGGAGGTCCAGCGGAGTGGTGTTGTAAACGGATCGCGTTGAGACATCGCGGGTTCCTGGGGGGGGCTGCGAACAGTCGTGTCACTGTCGTGGGCTCCCGGGAGGTCCAGCGGAGTGGAGGTGTAACCAGATCGCGTTGAGACCTCGCGGGTCCCGTCGAGGGCTGCGAACTGTGCCGCTGTCGCCACTTTCGTGATCTCCCGGGAGGTCCAGCGGAGTGGAGGTGTAACCAGATCGCGTTGAGACCTTGCGGGTCCTTGAAGGTGCTGCGAACTGCGCAACCGTCGCCGCTTTCGTGGGCTCCTGGGAGGTCCTGCGGAGTGGAGGTGTAAACAGATCTCGTTGAGACCTCGCGGGTCCTTGGAGGTGCTGCGAACTGCGCAACCGTCGCCGCTTTCGTGGGCTCCTGGGAGGTCCAGCGGAGTGGAGATGTAAACGGATCGCGTTGAGACCTCGCGGGTCCTTGGGGGCTGCGAATTGCGCCGCTGTCGCCATTTTTTTTTTCTCCTGGGAGGTCCAGCGGAGTGGAGTTGTACACGGATCGCGTTGAGACCTCGCAGGTCCTTGGGTGGGGCTGCGAATTGCGCAATTGCCTAATTTTTTATGGGCTCCTGGGGGGTCCAGTGGAGTGGAGCTGTAAACGGACCCCATCGAGACCTCGCGGGTCCTGGGGTGGGGCTGCGAATTGCGCAATTGCCGCCACTTTTCGTGGGCTCTTGGGAGGTCCAGCGGAGTGGAGATTTAAATGCACTGCGTTGAAACCTCGCGAGTCCCTGGGGGGGCTGCGAGCTGCGCAACCGTCGCCACTTGCGTGGGCTCCTGGGAGCTCCAGCGGAGGGGGCTGTCACGCGGACCTTGTCCAGACCTCGTGGCCCCCTGGGATGTCTGGGCCCTTCGCCTTCACCCCCCCCCTCTGGCTCATCCCGCTCTGGCTCCTCCTTCCTCCACCCTCCTCCTCGCTACTTTTCCCTCCCTCCTCCGCGGGGCAGGACACGCACCGGGCGCTGCTGCGGGACGGGCTAATCGGGCGCGCGGACGGGCCCGCGGGCGACCCTGGGGGAGGCGCTGCAGCGCTCCCGCGAGGGGTCGAGGGGTGCGTGGTCGAGGCGAGGGGTCGAGGCGGGAGGGGTCGAGAGGCCGTTGGGGGCCGAGTATCGAGGCGAGAGGTCGAGGTGGGAGGGGCGGATGGGGTCGAGGGGGCCGAGGGGTCCAAGGGTGAAGGGGTCCAGGGCGCAGGCCCCAACGTTTTTGCACGTGCCTGGGCCCCGCGGGGGCCTGCGCAGGCGGACGGAGAGCCTCCGGAGGCACCCGCGCGACACCTCAGGGGAGGCCTGCCGGAGCCTCCAGATATGCCAGGAGAGCTTCTGAGACCCCAGGGGTGCCTCCCGCTGCTCGTCGCGCCGCCGCCGCAGCCGCCGCCGTCGGCGTCGTCGGCGGCGGCGGCGGCGGCGTCGGCGTCGTCCGTGTCCGTGTGCGCGTCCGTGTCCGTGTCCGTGTCCGTGTCCGTGTCCGTGTCCGTGTCCGTTTCCGTGCTCGTCCGCCGTCTGCCGTCCGTCCGTCGTCGTTGTCGTCGTCGTAGGCATCGTCGTTGTCGTCGTGGGCGTCGTCGTGGTCGTCTGTCGAGGAATCGCAAGCGTAGACGAAGGCGCGTGGATTAGGACGCAGCTGGTCAGCTTTTCCGCGTTTCACCACGGAGTGCTCGGTTGACTCGAGTGATGTTGCGATCGTCCCCTCCCTCTTGCCCCCCTTCTTCTCCCAAAATATCGCGCTGAAAAAAAGAAGGTAAAGGCGCGTGGATTAGCGGCGGGTCCCATTTCTCTATAGAATCGGCGCTCTCCTCGGCAAATCGGGCGGCATTGGCCTCGCGTTGTGCCAGGTCTTCGCATCCCTGATCCATGTTAGCATGCGCCCGAGTCTCGGTCCGAGTTCGCCGTCGCTCCCTTACTCCTCGAACAGGGCTGCAGGGACTGCCAAGGGTTTACAACACCATGTGTTCAACCAAGATAGATGACAGGGTTCAGGGTGGACACGATCTGGCACGCTCGACGCCCAATATTGGGAAGGCCTAGCGGCCAGTGCCGCCGACCCTGAATTCTCAAAGGGGACGGCGACGACGACGGCGGCGGCGGCGGCAGCGGCGATGACGACGATGCTGACGCTCTGGAGCCTTTCTTGGGGCTCTCTTGGGAGCCTCTTGAGCTCTGTGGGGGCTTGGGCTGGGGCCGCGGCTGGGGCCAGCGCCAGGGCTGTGGCTGGGGCCGGGGCCACGGCTGGGGTTGGGGCCGGGGGCCAGGGGCCAGGGGCCAGGGCTGGTGCCAGGGCGCCGGGGCCAGGACCCGGGCTGCGGCCCCCTGGGCTGGGCCGTGTCCCGGTCCGGGGCCGGGGAAGGAGCGGGGGCCGGGCCGCGGGAGGGGGGGGGGGGGGGGACCGTATTTGGGTGGCGAACCCTTCCGGGACCGGGAAAAGAGCGGATCCCAACGGGATTATCACAATTCCGGCCGTTCGGAGTGGGTTGCAACCAGAAATGGTCCCAATCCCAACCGCTTCAGAAATTTTACGAGATCTTACGAGATCTTCAGAGATCAGATATTAGGAGATCTTACGAGTTCCTCAGGGATCTTACGGGATTCCACGAGGTTTTCAGACCTTCAGGCATCCTCAGGAATTCACGGGAATCCTGAGAGACCCTCAGAAATTCGGGGGAATCCTGAGAGACCTTCAGGAATCCTCAGGAATTCGGGGAATGTTGAGAGACCCTCAGGAATCCTTAGGAATTCGACGGAATTCTGAGAGACCCTTAGCAATCATTCGGAATTCGGGGGAATCCTGAGAGACCCGCAGGAATCCGCGGGAATCCTGAGAGACCCTCAGGAAGCCTCCGGAATTCAAGGGAATCCTGAGGGATCCTCAGGAATCCGGAGAGATCCTCAGGAATCCTCAGGAGTCTTGAGATATCCTCAAGCGTCCTCGGGAATCCTGCGAGATCCTGAGGAATCCTGACCTCAGGAATTCGAGAAAATCTTGAGAGATCCTCAGGAATCCTGACCTCAGGAATTCGTGGGAATCCTGAGAGATCCTCAGGAATCCTGACCTCAGGAATCCTCAGAGAGTTCTTCAGGGATCCTGAGAGATATCCTTTAAAATCCGGGGGAATCCTGAGAGATCCTCAGGAATCCTGACAGATCCTCAGGAATCCTGAGGGATCTTGAGAGATCCTCACGCATTCTCGGGAATATTGCGAGATCCTCAGGAGTCCTGACCTCAGGAAGTCAGGGGAATCGTCAGAGATCCTCAGGAATCTTGACGTCAGGAATTCAGGGGAACCCTGAGAGATCCTCAGGAATCCTGACTTCAGGAATCCTCAGAGAGTTCTTCAGGGATCCTGGGAGATATCCTCGGGAATCCAAAGGTAAATTTAGAGATCCTCAGTAATCCTGAGAGCTCCTCAGGAATTCTCAGGAGCCTTAGGAATCCTTGGGATGCCTTAAAGGTTTTCTCTTTTTTCAGTTTTTCCCAACCCTCCTATGGTTGGGTACTCGTTTCGAATAGAGCAGTGTGGTCGTCCCGGCCTCCTTCTCCTCCCCCCTCCTCCCCTCCTCCTCTCCTGTTTCCTGTGTTCCCCTCTCCTCTTCTCTCGTGCCGTCGGGCTGCGATCCGCGCAACTGTCGCCACTTTCGGGGGCTCCTGGGAGGCCCAGCGGAGGTGGGTCCAACGCGGATCACCTCGGGACCTCGCGGTGCCCTGGGGGCTGCGATCTGCGCAACAGTCGCCACTTTCGTGGGCTCCTGGGAGGCCCAGCGGAGGTGGGTCCCAAGCGGCCCACCTCGGGACCTCGCCGTGCCTTGGGGGCTTCGATCTGCGCAACTGTCGCCATTTTCGTGGGCTCCTGGGAGGCCCAGCGGAGGTGGGTCCCACGCGGATCACCTCGGGACCTCGCAGCCCCCTGGGGGGCTTGCGATCTGCGCAACTATCGCCACTTTCGTGGGCTCCTGGCAGGCCCAGCGGAGGTGCGTCCCACGCGGATCACCTCGGGACCTCGCGGTGCCCTGGGGGCTGCGATCTGCGCCATTGTCGCCGCTTTCGTGGGCTCCTGGGAGGCCCAGCGGGGGTGGGTCCCACGCGGATCACTTCGTGACCTCGCGGTGCCTTGGGGGCTCCGCGCAACAGTCGCCACTTTCGTGGGCTCCTGGGAGGCCCAGCGGAGGTGGGTCCCACGCGGATCACCTCGGGACCCGCAGCCCCCTGGGGGGCTTGCGATCTGCGCAACAGTCGCACTTTCGTGGGCTCCTGGAGGCCCAGCGGAGGTGGGTCCCGGCCAGAATCATCTCGGGACTCGCTTGCACCATGGGGGTGCGATCTGCGCAGCTGTCGCCACTTTCGTAGGCTCATGGGAGGCCTAGCGGAGGTGCGTCCCACGCGGATCACCTCGGGACCTCGCCGCCCCCTGGGGGGCTTGCGATCTGCGCAATTGTCGCCATTTTCGTGGGCTCCTGGGGGGCCCAGCGGAGGTACGTCCCACGCGAATCACCTCGGTACCTCGCCGCCCCCGGGGGGCCTTGTGATCTGCGCAATTGTCGCCACTTTCGTGGGCTGCCGGGAGGCCCAGCGGAGGTACGTCCCACGCGGATACCTGAGACCTTCGCGGTGCCATTGGGGGCTGCGATATGCGCAATTTGTCGCCACGTTCGTGGGCTCCTGGGAGGACACAGCGGAGGGGGTCCCACGCGAATTCACCTCGAGACCTCGCGGTTGCCTTGGGTGCTGCGATCTGCGCAATTGTCGCCACTTTCGTGGGCTCCTGGGGGGGCCAGCGGACCCGTTGCGTCCCAAGCGGCCCACCTCGGGACCTCGCCTTGCCCTGGGGGTTGCGATCTGCGCGATTGTCGCCACTTTCGTGGGCTCCTGGGAGGCCCAGCGGAGGTGCGTCCCACGCGGATCACCTCGGGACCTCGCCGCCCGTTTGGTGGGCTTGCAATCTTCGCAATTGTCGCCACTTTAGTGGGCTCCTGGAGGGCCCAGCGGAGGTGGGTCCCACGTGAATCACCTCGGAACCTCGCCGTGCCCTGGGGGCTTGCGATCTGCGCAACCGTCGCCATTTTCGTGGGCTCCTGGGAGGCCCAGCGGAGGTGGGTCCCACGCGGATCACCTCGGGACCTCGCCGCCCCCTGGGGGGCTTGCGACCTGCGCAATTGTCGCCATTTTCGTGGGCTCCTGGGAGGCCCCGCAGAGGTACGTCCCACGCGGATCACCTCGGGACCTCGCCGCCCCCTGTGGGGCATGCGATCTGCGCAACTGTCGCCATTTTCGTGGGCTCCTGGGAGGCCCTGCGGAGGTACGTCCCACGTGGATCATTCGGGGCTGCGTCATACGCGTTTCTTTCAACGCCCCTGTGCTTCCATTTTGTATAGTTGCCGTTCCTCCTCTTGCTGCGCTCGTCTGAGATCACTGTTGGATGCTCTTCTTGCGCACTGCGGGTCCTTCATAATGCCAGTCAGCATTGAGTGGTCCTGCGTATACTCGCCACATGTATAGAACGGGTTGGGTACGTCACAAGGGGCATATTTAGGACTCCTAGGGGACCCTGAGGGATCCTTAGTGAGGGAGCCTGGGGGGGTCGTGAGGGTCCCCAAGAGTCCTGGAGATTCCTGAGAGCCCCTGTGGGTTCGGACAAGTCCCCAATCTTGAGGTCTTCGGAGGCATTCCGATGGAACTCCATATGGAGTTGTTATAGGAGGGCCTCCAATGGAATTCTTTACGCTTCGCGTATCCCCACCAGCCCATCTCACAGCAGCAACTCGCGAAGCATGCCGACAGTCGTGTTTTTCAGGCGTGTGTCCGCTTGGCCCCGCATATCTCCCCTGTTCCTCCTTCCTCCCGCCTCCTTGTACATCCTCCTTGTGGGGGGAGCGGGAGAAGGACGAGGCGGAGGAGGAGGGAGAGAACGCGCTCCTCGTGATTTGAGTCGTTTGGGGTTTCTCGTCCTGGTGTGAGTCGTTCGGGCCCTTTTTCCTGGTGTGAGTCGTTCGGGCTCTTCGTGGTGTGAGTCGTTCGGGCTCTTCGTC